CTGCACCCTCTTATGGGGGCTGTCTTTGAGCTCTGCAAGTACCGGTTGCTAATCTTGGATGTCCTCAGACCCAGTGTGGCCCATGTACACCAGCACACAGAATGAACTGGCACTCACTGAAAGAAATTGGTAACATGAATGAAAATCCTTTGCAAGGGTTTCTTGGACCCTGTCCTCAGGAAGGTCTCTTGCCTGACTGTTCCAGCTTCCTGTTCTAGGGCTCATTTCCTGTCCTCTATTCTTCAGTTCCCAGACCAGTGTACTCCTATTGTGTGTCCTGCGGGATCTCAGTAGCAGCTGCTCTACCAAGCTGCTCTGATGACTCTGGGGACACCTAAGAGACTTAACCTTCTTTGCTCGGTGCTTGCCCTACCCACCCCCTCCGTGGATTTGTGTAGCTGTTACCCTTCCATTCTGTCTTGTCAATATAAAAATATTTCTTATTTCTAACATTAAGAATAGGAATCCCCCCTAAAAGTTCTCAAGTTGATGTGACTAGTCCTCTAGAATCGAAAGTAAAGACCTATGCTTAAGGACACAACACAGTGCCCTACCATCCCATGTCATAGCACCCTTGAGCTGGCCTGAATATGCTCTGCAGGAGATGCTAAAAAAGGCAAAGCTGCCAGCTAACTCAAATGGTCTCAGAGCTTCAAGTCTATCTCTCCCTTCCCTATTCCTAGAAACCCTCATGGTGGAAGGAGAGAAATGACCCCACAAATTGTCCTCTAAATACACACCTATATACAAGAAAATAAATGTAGTTAATTAAAACAACAACAAAAATGTCTCCAGGTTGGGGGGGGTGGAGTTGGCCTTGTAGTCTGTAACTGCCAACTTGGATGATGATCTGGGGCATATTTTCCTCATCTCTTTGGGTCTCCATAATAGTAAACCAGTCACCACAATTAGACCTCAGAGTCTGACATAAATAGGATCATAAGTGAGTCTCTGTAGTGAAGACATGTTAGTTTCATCATGTGTGCCAGCCGGTCTGTCATCTAAGCCATACACAATCTATCACATATTCTCTCACCATTGGACCATCAGATCACCAGCATACTGGCCATTTAAAGACGCCATGCAAAGATGCAGGAGGTAGCACCTTGTTCAGGGTTCACAGTAGTGCTGTGGCTATTATCACCCCTAGTGGAGGAGCCTGGGGCTAGAGAAGCAAAACACTTGCCAGTTATTCACCTGACAGCATTTGCAGAAGTTCAGACTGTAATGGGTTTGTATGACTCCATAGCATGCTTCGACATTTTCAGAATACAGTAGATGTTCTTGAGATCATTTGGGACAGTTTACAGGGGTGAGGCCAGGAGCAGTAGGGATCAATTTATGCCAAGACTGCTTTACTAAAGATTTGCCAGGCCTTATCACATTGATCTATAATCCCAGCTAAGGTGAAGTTGAAGCAGAAAGATTGTGGTTCAAGAACTGCCAGGCTACTTAGTGAGTTCAAGCCTCCCTTGGTGATTTAATGGGACATGTGTGAGAAATTAAAAGTGGGGGCTGAGAGGTAGGCATGATGGCACATTCCTGCAGCTGCAGTACTCACGAGGTAGAAGCAGGAGGGTCAAGAGTTTGAGGTCTGGGTTGTCCTCATCTATAGTAAGTTTGAGACCCTGCCTGGGTGGGATAGGAGGCTAAGGATATAGCACAGTGGTAGAGTGCTTGCCTTGCATGCATGTACGGAGCCCTAGGTTTAAGCCCTGGAACCATTCAAGGAAAAGGAGAAAGTATGGGATGAGCAAGATGGCTCAGTAGTTAAAGATGCCTGTCACCATCTGACCTGTGTTTGATGCCTGACCTGTCTCTAGGACCCACTCAGAAGCAGAGAACCAACTCGCACAAGTTGTCCCTATGACACCCCCCCACACACACCACAGTTAAAATACCTGTGTATGCGTGCATAGACTTTTAATCAAGCATGCTAGTGGGCACCTTTAGGGCCAAGCACTGAGAGGCAGAAACAAACAGATCTCTTGAGTTCCAGGCCACCCAGGGCTACATTGTAAGACCCCATGGTCTACAAGAGGGTAGATCTGAGGGACAGGCTAGATTGTTTAAGCAGAATTAAGAATTACAGGGTGTGAGCCGGCGGTGGTGGTGCACAATTTTGATCCCAGCACTCGGTAGGCAGAGGCACTGGAATCTCTGTGAGTTTGAGACCAGCCTGGTCTACAGAGCAAGTTCCAGGACAGCCTCCCAAAGCCACAGAGAAACTCTTGTCTTGAACCACCACCCCCCCAGAAAAATTACAGGGTGTGGACTTACAGGTGATTGGCTGCTGGAGGATGGAAGCATTTGCTTAGCAGTGGTCCTCAACATTCCTAACGCTGTGACCCTTTAATCCAGTTCCTCATGTTGTGGTGACCCCCAATCATAAAATTATTTTCATTGCTACTTCATTACTGTAATTTTGCTGCTAAGCAGTGTGTCATTTCCTAAGACCATCAGAAATGTGTGTTTTCTGCTGGTCAAAACCCACAGGTTGAGAACCACTGGATTACAGCATAAGGAAACCAAATCTGCAGGTTTCATGCCTGGTGAGATCTGACCAGTGTGAGGTGTTGACCTCTTGGGAGTTTTGAATGGACTACATAACGGTGCCATTTGCTGATTTGAGGATGCACAAGAGGAAACTTGGGGAGAATATTCAGTATTTGGGGGTATTTTGTCTGTTTATCTGGAGAGAACTGTTTGGAACATTTGAGTTTGTGGTGGGACTGGAGAGAAGTCCTGGTTGGGGAAGGTGGCCTTTAGGAGCAGCCAGAGCTCGTGATTTGAGTGAAGGGCCGTGTATGGCATGGGGAGAGGTCAAGACTGAGGTATGCAGGCACCTCCCAGCACAGGTAAATCAGCATTTGCTCACTGGTATCGGGAGGGGGGAGGGGGGTGGTCCAGGCTAGGACATTTACTTGGGCCAGGGGAGGCAGATTGAGTGATTTGTCCAGCAATGAGGGAGGAGCCAGATGAAGTCAATAGAAAACTAATTTTCTTTTCTGCTAGAAGAAATGAGGTGTGTGGCCGCTGGGTAATTGCAGATAACGAGGGGACTTATTCTTAATATGCACAGTGGCCATGGTCCCCAGAGTGCTGGAGACAGGAGAGATCTGAGGTGCCCTGACAGGACTAGGTTTATTGGGAAAGAATATCCTTCTATCCCAGGTTCCCCCAACTCTCAACAGTGCCATCATGGCATCTAGCCCCACCATAACTCCCCAGGCGTCTTCCTGTCCTATTCCCCTGCCAACTGCCTAGCTCTTCCTGTCATACCCCCTCCCTCTACCCTCTACCCTCTACCCCCACAATACTGGCGTACTCACTAAGAGAGACAAATGACAGGGCCTCAGCTGAGCGGGACGCGTGTCCGGCCCATAAACCACGGGGATGGGTCATGTCTGGAGTTGCCATGGCCGCCACTACCCACCCATCTGTCTTCTCCCCATTCTGCCTCAGAGCAGATCAGCCCTCTTGGCTTCCTGAGTCTCTGGAGAAACAAGGTATCACCTCCTCACACCTCTGTCCACTGCAGGTCTCATCTGATTGGCCTACCCTAGGCCCTTGGCTAATGAGACCCTTTCTTATCTTGGGGGTGCCGGAGTCCCCTTTCCTAGGCCAAAGTTTTGGTGAGGGCAAACATAGAGGCTCAGTGGGATGAAAAGATTCAGAGGCCTCCTGACCTCACCACCTCCCCTTACTTTATGCCATCAGTGTATGGTACTTCTGCATCACAGCATCCATCTAATGAGGAAAGGGTAGTGGCTGAGGCCATGGCTATGGCCCATGGACAAGGGAGGTGGGAGAGGAGTAAAAGCAGACAGTTGGGGACTGCTCTGGGAAGGTGAGCAACAGCAACAACAAACAAAACAGGTAGATGGGTAGTTTCTGTATTAGATTTCCTCCAGTGCAGTGGTTCTCAACCTTCCTGATGCTGAAACCCTTCAATACAGTTCTGAATGTGGTGACCCCAACCATAAAATTAGTAAGTTGCTACTTCATAACTGTAATTTTGCTGTCATTACAGTATGATATATCATGATACATCATGATATAAATATCTGATATGCAGGGTATTTGATGTGACCCCCAAAGGGGTCATGACCCACACGTTGAGAACCACTGCTCTTGTAGGTCAAGCCTGGAGTTGCTGCTCTTCCTGTATCTAGTAGTGGATCAGGTCCTGTCCTGGTAAAGTCCCCAGAATCCCTGCATCCTCCAGGCTACCACAATAGCTGACAGCATGGAGTTTTTCAGAGGCCAGTATCAGAGAAACTGATAGGGTCTGACACATACAGGCTTTTAACCTGGTATTTGAGCAGAGACAAGGTCCCCAAAGGTGGCCAGCAACCAGCCTACTGGGAAGAGACAGGATGTAGGTTAACTAGTGGGCGTGTCTGGTAGGACTGACAGCACATAGACTAGGGCCTTTCTTCCCCAGCCTGTGCGGAGCTACATGGAGACAGATATCCAGAACAGGTGTTTCCCAGGATTCTGGCACAGCCGTGCCAATTCTTGTGCCTTGTCACCAGTTGAGTATGGCCTGGACAACAGTTCCCCACACATACACACAAGTGCCGACAAAGTCACCCTGGCCGTGGGTGTGATGAATGGCCCCACAGTAATGAAATGGAGACATCAAGGCGGGTGGCGGGAAGACGGAGTGTGGCGGACAGGCCGTCCCCATGCGGCAGCAACAAGAAGGATCGCCCAGCGGCCAGGGGCCGTCAAGGGAGAAATTACACATTTACTCTGCCTTTTTCTTACTGCGACGGCGCCCATACATCACTACTGGGGCTGGGATGGGACACAGCGGCCAATTTCCAGCATGAATTATGGGACTGAGAAGCATTGAGTCCAGGCTTCCTGTAGGCCCAGTGTCACCCAGCCCAACCCAAGGCTGAAGATGTTGCCACCAGAGCCAGGGATGTCCTCCTCTCAGGCCTATGGCTCCTGAATCTGGCCCCTGTCTAAATGTCTTCTCTTCTCTCTAGATGACTGCAAGAACATTGCCAACATCATGAAGACATTAGCATACCGAGGTTTCATCTTCAAGCAGACATCAAAGCCCTTTTGATTGGCAGAGGATGGGATGGGGCAGGACAGGGTAGCTGCTTGGCCCAAACCAGAATCCTCCTCTCCCTCACAAGAGGGAAAAAAGGAGAGTGGCACAGGTCTGCGCCCAGAGTGTCCCCAGTTGCCCTATGGGCTTGTGCCCTGGTTGAGGGTTTGGCCATTTGGCCCCTCTGGAGCAGACACTTTGTGCCCCACCCCCCCTCCCACTCCTCAGTCTCAGTCCAGTGCTAGCTCCTCCCATTATGGGCCTGGGCTAGGGGGAACCCAGGTACTCACTGCCTTCTCCCTGGTATATAGGCTTCTGCTGGGTTCACCAAGTCTCCCCTGTGCCCCCTCCCATCCATAGTGCATGGTGTGTGGTGCCCCCAGGGCTCCAGGACAGATCAGGCCCCACCTTGTATCCACCCCATCCCTGCTGTGAACGTGCCACTGAATAAAGTCGGGGAAACAAAGTCCTAGTGTGTGTGGAGCCATCCTTGTGCGTAAGGCTGTTGCTACACTGATGCTCCAGGCTTCATCTCTATACAAAGCCCGTCTTCAATGCCTTCACTAAAGATGCATAGACTGGGAGCAGGGGGCACTATCTTGAACACAAGGACTTGCCAAAGCTGCTGCTACTGCTGCTGTTATCTGAGTCCCCTGCTGCATGCAAGGCTAACTTAAATACAAATCACAGGTGTTCAAGGTATGGAGATGCAGCAAAGTGTTGAAGGGCTTGAATGTGGGCACTGCAAGCAGGCCTTTAGGGATGCACTGTAGTGATCAATCTATCAGCCTGTCATCCCAGCCAAGGATAGGAGGAGGTAAGGAAATAGAGTCAATCAGCCCAGTCCAATGTAACAGCTCTATTTACACCATACCACCAACCCTAGTGGCCCCTCATGGTTTCTTGGCTTTCTTCACAGAAGATGAGCTGGAGGCAGACTCCCGTCGTTTCCGCTGAAGAGACAGAAAGGTTGAGGTTAGTGGCTTCTGAGATGTGACTCAAGGCTTAGTGCCTTCCATTCTCAGAGAAGAGGCCAATAGTCAGCCCACTCCTGTCCGCTGCCTCTCCCCTCACAGTGGCGACCATTCATTCCCTTGAGGGCTCTGGAGGGAGTGGGGACTGTATACATGTGTTCCCTTACAGAGCCAGGGCATGCTCCCCCAAGCCTGCCCAGGTTCTTACCGAATTGGGTGTGAGGGGTGCACCCACTACATCAATGATGGTGTCCTTAGTGGGGTCAAGGCCAAGTCCAGATTCAGACACTGCTGGCTCAGCAGAGGCTGGGGCTGTTCCCACTGCTGGTGTGGCAGGGCCCCCCAGCACTCCTGCCCGAGCCAGGGCCTCGTGCCGGTGCCGCAGCATCTGTAGCTCGTATTCACAGTTGGCACAGGCCTGCTTGAGCTCGTAGAGTAACACCAGGTCACTCCGCAACTCGTTGAACATGTGCACCAGCTCCTCTGTGGGGGTGGGGCTCAGCTCTGCAGGGCAGGCCAGACAAAGCCGGACGGTGGTTGAAGGCCTGCAATGTGAACTCCCCTCCCTTGCACAGTCCCGGGAGAGGGCGCTGTCTATGGCGTGAGGCTGGGTGTCACTCACCCACGCCCCCGGGAGAGGGCGCTGTCTATGGCGTGAGGCTGGGTGTCACTCACCCACGCCCCCGGGAGAGGGCGCTGTCTATGGCGTGAGGCTGGGTGTCACTCACCCACGCCCCCGGGAGAGGGCGCTGTCTATGGCGTGAGGCTGGGTGTCACTCACCCACACCAAGCTCCAGCAGCATCTGCTCCAGCGCCTTGATCTTCTTCTGACCCACAGAGCTGGGCAGCTTCATCTGCAATGACAGTGAGCTAGGTCCTAACCCTTGGATGAGGTTTAGGGTGAGGAGAGTTAAACAGGCTCATAGGGAACCTCTGCAAGTAGCTATGGCAAAAATGGAACAAGCTAGGACGTGGAGAACTGTAAGGCAACTCAACCTGGCCATGTCATGAGATCCTGGCGAGGCCACCTCTTTCCATAGCCCCCCTCCCATTGCTCTAGCCTTAGCAGTTATAGTACTTAGGCCATTTGGAGTACAGGGCCCAAACATTGAAGAAGGTAACTCACCCGCTGGCTCCGAAGTGTGACACCTGCCGACTTAAAATCTGGAAACTTGATGCCTGCAGTCTCAGGAACAGCCTGGGGGAAGAGTTATAGAGCCTAAGGTGTCATAGGGAGTGGCCCAGGGACCCACTGATTTGGTACTGTGAACACCCACTGAAGCTGGGGACTCAGTGCCAGATGACCCATCCCCCCTGAGCTCATTGGGTCAGCCTCCACACCGGCTTCTCGGCCTCCTTCTTCTGGGGTAGCTTTTTCTTAGGGGCTTTGCGTTCTGTGCGCCGCTGTTCCGCAGTGGTGTCTGCTGCTGTAATCAGCTTCTGCAGGTCTTGGCTGCGTTTTTCCCGCTCTTTTTTCCGGGCCTCAATCTTACGAAGCTCCTGTAGCAGGTACTCTTCCTCTGCCACCTGCAAAAGCAAGAAATGCTTTGGCATGTATGAAGGCTGTGTGGAAGCAGGGTAGCCAGGGAGCTGAAGGATACTACGTTGTCTGTGAGGGCACCAGAGATAAGGAAACTGCAAGGAGGGGAAGAACAAGGGAGCCATGAGAATGGGCTGAAGGTGGAGGGACTTGGGGGTGAGAGAGTTGAGGCCATGGAGGGTGGAGAGGCAAAGGGTTTCATGTATGGAGAAGAGGTCATGACCTGCTCTGGGGTCCGGTTGTAGAGCCGCTCCAACTGCTCCTTCCTCCGTCTCTCATGCCCAGCATCAAATACTGGTATTTTGAGATCTGTGCCTGGCACAGCCCTCACGTTGGCAAGCTTGGCACAAATGTGGTAGTACCTCTCTTTCAAATCCTCTACAGAACGCTTCTAAGAATCAAGACACATGATAAACACAGAGAAGTGGATGGAGGGATGGCGGGAGGGTTGGAAGCTCATATAAAAGCACACCAGCTCACCTTGAACTGTTGGTGGTCATACCGATCATGAATAACTACAAAGCGCAGATCAAATCGGCGGCTGAGGTCGAAGAGGTGGTCAGTCTCTGCCTTAGTCCATGCGTCATCGTGAAGGTAGAGTTGGTACTCCTGCTCTGAATACACGGGCACCTGCACCGTCTACTGGCACAAAGACACAGGACCACATGCCTTTGTCACAAGCTGGCTGGCCATGTGACCACACCCCTTCTTGTTTATTACCAACCCCTGTGTATGGGCAGCCTGTAGGAAGGAAAAAACTCAGTCTGATTGGCCAGAGGCTCCTCCCTATAAGGCTCTGGGTCAGTGGCCTGCCTGGTTCACTTCAGGACAACTTACCATCTTTTGGAACGGGCCACATGCTCTTACCTGACTTGAAAGCACTTCTACGGCATTCTACGGCACCCAAGGGTCAATTGTGGAGTCAAAAACCCATCAGACAGAGAAAGGCCCAGAGCCCCTAGGCCATGCACCACTTGTCTAAAGCACTACTGCCACCCAGTGGTAACAGTGGGACTTGCCGATCTCAGAGCACTTCACAGTTGGGCATCTCCAGGGAATCCTACTGCCAATGCCCCTTCCTCTCCTTGCCCACATTCCTCCTCCTGCCCCAGGTCTCTCTCAGAGTTACCAGCACCACCATAAGCTGGGTCTGTAGGTCAGAGACAAGGAGTCAGTGCTGGGCCATAACAAAAGTTTCTTAGGAATTCAAAAATAGAGCAGGCACTTTCCTGCTGCTCTTGGACACTTTGTACCAGAGGTCATATATGTCCAACCTTAACACAGACCTCAACCACTGTCACCAACAGCCAGCACCAGAACACTGGGTGTGTTGCTGTTTGGTGACCATCTATGTTTCTGCTTTGTTGTTGACACAACCTTGGGAAGTAGCCTTGGCTAGCTAGTACTTTCTGTGGGGCCAGACTGGCTCTAACTCAAAACAGTCCTCCTGCCTCAGTCCCCCCAGTACTGGATTACAGGCATACACCACCTGGCACTGAATCTGTGGCTTCACCTCCAGAGTCCCTGTCCATCCCCAGGGTCACAACCCACTTAGACTAGCACAGCACCGTCTCTGGCCTACATTAGAGAAACAAAACCACCTTCCCACTTGGGCTTCCCTTCAGGCCTCTTCCAACCCATTCTCCATCTGCAAACAAGATGTGACCCTTATCATGCTACTTACAAGGCCGACCGATATGGCTTGTTACAACTGGCCTACAATAAGAATGGAAACAGGGAAGCACTTTTATATGTCACTGCGTGCCCATAAATGTAATATAAATATGAACTTGTATTACCTTAAAATCCTAGTATCTCTCTCAGGCTCTGCTGGGCTACAAATAGAAAATCTTGCCACTTCCTAGGAAAGGTACTGTTGTTGGTCACATGCCATGTCTCCATTAACCTCTAAGATAAAGTGCCTTCTAGATAATTCACAAATTACAAGGCTTTGCCAGTTTATTTCTTACTGTTAGGGCTCAACCCACCATAGGACAAGTGAAGAGCCCCTGCCATTAAAGAATGTGTGGCCTGGCCTCCTGCAACCACTAGTCCTTGAGGACCCAAATCTCCAGCCTAAGAGTCTGGAACACTTTATTCTTAATTCTGTATTCCTTCTACCAACAGAATATTCTCATCCTTTTGACCTCTCAAGCATCATCTCCTAAGAATTTATCTGGTTACCCAGGCTTGGCTATATATATATCCCACCTTGTAATTTAATTTGTGTATGTGTGTGATGGGGTTGCACTGTGTAAACCAGGCTGGCATCGAACTCAGAGATCCACCTGCTCTGCTTCCCTGAGTGCTGGAATTAAAGATATGCACCACTAGAAGCAGATAATTTCATTTGTTTTTAAAATGCCCCAGACTTCTGGCCAATCTCACTCTCAAAACAGTTCAAAAAGACAAATCAACTCATTCATTCAACAAATACTTATCATGAGCCTGCTAAGCCTATGTTGGGGACACAGTGCTCACAGGGGTCACCTCTCAAAGCCAGCAATCCAACTGGGGGGAGGGGGAGAAAAACAATTTTGGTACTATGTGGTAAATATGATGATAAATATTAACAAGTGACACTGGGTACTTTTGGGCACAGAGCTGGTTAGAGCAAAAGTAAATCAAGGCTAGTCCTTTGTTTTTGTTTCTTTGTTTTGTTTCTGAGACAGGATTTGTCTGTGTAGCCCTGGCTGTCCTGGAACTAGCTCAGTATACAAGGCTGGCCTTGAACTCATAGAGATCCCCCTGCCTCTGTCTCCCAAGTGCTGGGAGGGATTAAAGGCATGTGCCCCCACTGCCCAGCCAGGCCTAGTCTTTTTATTCTTACTTAGGTTGCTACTGTTTTTATGTGTCTGTGGAGTTGGGGCAGGGTGCCTGTGGAAACCAGAAGAAGGCATTGGATGCTCAGAAGAAGCTGCACATAAGCTGCCCACTCTGGGAACTGGGAACCAAACTCCAGTCCTCTGGAAGAACAATAAGCACTCTTAATCACTGAGTCATCTCTCCAGCCCTGTGCAGGTTGTTTTGTTCTTGTAGCCCAGGCTGGCCCTGAATTCAGTATGTACCAGAGAATGACACTGAACTCCTGATCCTTCTGCCTCCATCTCCCAAGTGCTGGGATTGCAAGTGTGCACCACCATACCATGCTAAATCTTAAGGTTAAGGAGAAGTCAACTAGTGAGGGATAACAGAGGGGACAACACAGTATAACATGACATTAAAAACAAACAAAACAAACATCCTAATGTGTGGGCCTGGCTTCTGGATCCAGGCTGAGAAACAGAGTGGGCTGAAAAGACCCTGAACGGAGTCTGGTGTGGCAGCAGAAACACCCTTGCAGGGGCCTGGAATCCACTGAGGCTGGGACAAGATCCAGTGCGGCTAAAAGTCCTGAATTTCTAGACTTACGTTCCATCCCCAGCACCCACATGGCAGCTCACAACCATTTATAATTCCAGTTCCAGTGAATCCTACCCCCTCTTCTGGCCTCCATGGGCACTACACCATGTGGTGTACAGACACATGGAGGCAAAAACACTCAAACACATAAAATAATTTTTTAAAGGTCCTGTTTCTTGTATCTAAGACCATCTGGCAACAGAGAAGACATTGGGGTAAAAGAAGAGTAGGAGACTAAACAGCCAACTTCAGCAGTGATGGAGGTGAAAAGCCATAAGCCCAAACTAAAGCAGCAGAGAAGGCATGGGCCTAGAGGCTGAAATAACAAGAAATCAATAATTGGGCATGGGGGAGGGGGTTGGGGGCTGGAGAGATGGCTCAGTGGTTAAGGGCACTGACTGCTCTTCCAGAGGACCAGGCCAAATCCCAGCACCCATATGGCAGCTCACAACTGTCTGTAACTCCAAGATCTGACACCTTCACACAGACTTACCTGATGTAAAACATCAATGTACATTAAAAAAAGAAGTAAATAATAATAATTAAAAGAAAAGAATTGGGCACGAAGGGCCAAGGAGAATGACACCATCAGCAACTCCTGGACTCATGGCCTGAGCAAGAGCAGAGGGAGAGTGACTGAAAGTGAGAGCCCAAGAGGAGCAACTACCTTGTAGTCATCCAGACCTTTCCAAAACTCATCCAATCCTTACAGGACTCTACTTTAAAATTTGTGGATAGCTCCTCAAAGACATGAGGGCAAAGCCCATGTTCTTAAACCTGGTTGCCAAGGGCCACCTGGCATGGTCACTGTTGACCACCTGAGCCACGCCTCCCCTATATCACCTTACATGGAGCTTTAAGCTTTATCAGTGTGGGACAGCCCAGAGTATCCAGGATACAGGAACCTTTAAAATTCTTTTTATCTTTTTTTATTATGTATTTATTTATTGGTTTTTCAAGACAGTGTTTCTCTGTGTAACAGCTCTGGATGTCCTGGAACTTGCTTTGTAGACCAGACTGGCCTTGAATTCACAGAGATCCTCCTGCCTCTGCTTAGGATCAAAGGTGTGTGCCAACAGGGCCTGGCTTCTTTTTTAATTTTTAAATTACATTTTTGTTTTCAGGTGTGTGTGGATGGGTATATTTGGAGGTCAGAGGACAATATTTGGGTGTTTGTTCTCTTCTTTCACCATTTGGACCCCAGGGATCAAACTCAGCCATAGGCCTAGCTGCAGGAGCCTACACACCCTTATATTCCTTTGAGACTTTTTCCTTACTATGTTCCATGTACATGAAGCGTGCGGGGGGGGGGGGGGGGGGGGACAAAGATGGGG